AGGGGGGCTAAAGGTGTTCTTCTTCTCTCAAATCTTTAGGATTTGTAATAGGTAGAAATTACAGTCACTATAATATGTATTAAAATTTTTAATTTAGTTTCAACATATTTTATCAGTAACAAAGAATATGCTTTCCTGAAAGCAGCTCCAGCATATAAACAAATCCTAATTTATGTATCTGGGTCTATATGCCCAGAACAACAATAATGTTAACTACTGGTATCAGTGATACTTTGGTGTGGTACTGAAGACACAGGTGCAAAATGTTTAAAGGCTTTAAAAAACAGATCTTACTTAGTTGGATTTTCAGTAGAAAATCAGAGCCAATGACAAATATTTAGGCACAACAGTCTTTCTAACTGAAGCCAAATCTCCAAGACTGACAGTCCAAGCCTACGCAGAAACCAGGATAAATCTCAGAATCCAGGAGGCCAATATGCCTATTGCTGGCTATACATTACAATTTTAGGGGTTTTTTTGAAGCTTTCCATCAGTTTGCAATCAAATAAACATATTTCAAAAATTTTAATAGTTAACAGCCATCTACAACCCACTTTCTGAAATCAATTCCTAGTTCCAAGTGATGAGTAGATCAAAATTGGGGTGACATTTGATTGAAAATGCCTTTTCAGTGGAATTGGCATGGTTTTGATCAGTTTCCAACAACTGACTCTCTCTGATATTGCTAAGTAGTGTGTAGACCACTCAGATCTCTCAAAACTATAGAGAAATAGGGAAGAAAGCAAAGGACCTGTCAATATGGTAATTAATATACAGCATAGTAGATTTTTGCTAGTGTTGCCTCTAGTAACCGATTGGATTACATGTACAACAGCCTTATTTTGTTATTTGTCAAGTGTTAGTAAACTTGACAGAACATAAAACAAATGCATTTTTCAGAGGCTATATTATCCTCACTGTTTAGGAAGCAAATGAAAATTAATGATGGGTTTCCAAAATCTTACCACGAAGGGGGTCTACGCAGCAGAGTTTCGCTCTCTCTTGTCTAGCTTGAGAATAACCTCCCCCCTTCCCTTCCCCTTTCTTCCTTGGCACCCTCCTACCATGCCACTGTATGAGGCTATGATCAAGAACAATCAAGGGGCCTCCTCTCCCCCCCTTTCCCTATTCTTACCCCCCATCTACATACTTATATCCCTATCCCCCCCCCCTTTTTATTATCTCATCCGGTTTGGCTTCCTTCTGTCTTCTAGTCTTGGTTTTCTTTTTGCTTAGTTTCTTAATTTTGAATCAACCCACAGTGGAGGCTGATAGACTTTAGATACTTGATTAGCCTCTATAAAAAGAGTTTCATGTACAGTGGTAGCTGTTTCTATGTTTTTGGAGACCCTACCAGCCACTCATCTTTTATTTCTATTTTTTACAGGTCAGTGTAAAGCTCCAGATATCCTATTCTCGCACAGTTGATCCACTATTTGGTTCAGTTGCAACCAGTTCTTGTCTATGTTTCCCTATTGTTAATATGGGCCATTAATTACTATGTGATTTTTCTGTCTTTGTAAAGATATGTGTGGACTTTAGCCCCTGTTTACACCGACACAACTTGCCATGTGATTTGACAGTTCAAATCGCATGACAAGTTGCACCCTATGATCAGCAATGGAACCGTTCTAATCAGTGCAACTCCGACTTTGTCCGAGTCTCACCAATTTGAAAAGTAGTAAATTGCGCTGACACTGATGCACATTCAGTGTGAACCCAGGCTTATGGTTTCTTCTCTTTATGTAAATTATTGGAAATTTCTTTGTTATTGTTCTCCACTAATATGTTTTTGAAAGAAAAAAAATTCTTACCACGAAAAATGAAGTCTTTGCAAAGTAGTTAAACTGTACTCTAGAAGCTATATCTTTATTAGCAGATGACAAGTCATTCAGTAAGGAGGCAGGGAGAAGGACAGACCCAGTACTGTTTTCTGGCAGATGAGAATTCAAAGTAACCTTTGAAATAAAGAGTAATAATATAAACATTACTAAAAGACACATGCCCTAAAATGAAGTTGCACCCAAGACTTATATATTAGCACAAGGCAGAATTTGTTAAAGGCTAAGTTCACCTTTTTGAAGAAAATAATAAATGCACATATTTTTGCAGGAAAAAATGTGCATTTATTTTTCTTTTCATAGGAGCCTGCAGAGCACTGCACCTTCCTGCTGTTTTTGTTAAAATGCATGTCTGGCCAAAAGAAAATAAAGTGATGTAGTACATGTCTGCAGTCAATGCATTTCCTAAGATTTATTCTTTTAAGGCCTCTTATGCCGTGCAGCTTGAAAAAGCTCAGAACAGCATTCTTGTTTTAATTGATTTAAAATGTAGCCCATTGTTTACAATGTGCCTGTACACACAGGCACTTAAACAAGTGCTGCGTATTCTTGAGTAGAAAAAAAAACGGAAAAAATGCATTTCTGGTTTGTATTTTGTGCCAGTACACGCAAACGTGTGCAAATACGCACACATGAGCATAAATGTTAAAGCATTTAGCCTAGGAATGTATTGTACGTGCGAATGCACAAAAACATGCATAAAGATACACAAATACGCGCAAAACAAATGCCTGAAATTACATCCAGAAATACTGATGCTCAAACATCAGTACTGTGTGCAAAAGGCCTAAAACAGTGTAAGTACAGAAAAATACCTGATAATCCTGCCATAAATCAAGTGAGCTCTTCCTGTTGTTAATTGAAAAAAGCTTCCTCTGTTGCACTAAAACCCCAAGCTTAAGTTTTATCTGTACCTGTTTCTTTTGCAGTAAAACAGTGCAGCTGCCCTGACTCCTAGGAGCCAATGTATAACTTTGTGTACGGAATGGACTCTTGGGAAATGTAGTCCTGGGGGCACATGCCTATGTGAATAGGAACTGAGCTTCTAGCAGCTTCCCAGCTTCCCTCCTAGCAAAATTATTTAACACTGTAGAAATTGAATTCAGCCCATATGTGGCATAGGATTGCTTTTTATTACACTGTTTTTACATATCAAGCAACCCTGGTCAACTTTTTCTGATCTGTATAGTGACCTTTTAAAGGGAAGCAGTATTGATAGAAATACATGATCTGTCGTTGCTGACCTCTCTTTTGCCAGGGTGTAATACTGAACTATTGGCTTAAAGACTTTGCAAGTCTCTGACTCAAAAAAGTATGCGCTCAAAGCATAGCAGTAAGATAACTAGCATCTTCAAAAAGAGATCAGTAAGCACAGCTTACATATTTCTCTGGATATACTGTAGGTGTCCTTTTAAGTGATTATAATCAAGTTATTAAGTCAAAGTTTTTATATTAATATAACAATAAAAAATAGATAACCCATGATAGGTGGTATAAAATTAGTTATGCATTGAACATATCCTACCTGTAAACCAGACGAAGACTCAACACCAAAAGATGTTTCAGTGAAACGACTGGCATTGATTTTATTTACTGCTAGAGCCAAGTATTGAGAGGTCAAATTTATTGATTGCTCAGGGAAGTTCAGCTTTAAGCCAATTTGATTCACAATTTTAATTAACCTATGAGATATAAAGAAAATATAATCAAAAGATGCCCAAAGGAAAAAATGGCAACATGGACACATTATATTGATTAAACAAAACTGCCTCAGTACTCTTTGCTTTGAGAGATACTGTAAAAAACCTCTGTACATTTGTGGATTTTGAGATTCTTCACTATCATCATACCCTGGATTAGATAAAGTAGGGCTACTGCAGGGCAAGTTGCATATAAGTAAATTGACTTATTAAGCAGCCTTAATAGATTATTAATAGGTTAATAATATAATTAATAAATTTTTCAGTCAGTTGTTATAACCCTTCCCTACCCTATCCAAAATGAAAAAAAAAAAAACTGTTTTGCCAGGGGCAGACTCCGCTTATCAGACACCATATTCAAGATATCATTTATAGGTGTACTGACCTTTTACACATAAATCAATATAGAAAATTCTACTTCTTAGAGAAAATAAGGCTGCATTTAATCCTGCAAACCCTAAGCAGTGTTGTAACTAAACTTTTAAGGGTCCTGATGTAAATGTCCTCATTTTTGAAGATCAAATCTATGTGTTTTTTTGCATATAGACAAGTCTTTTTTTAGTTTGATATATTGCAAAAAAGTTTCATTGCTTGAGTTTCAAGCAACAAATGACTCCTGACGTTTACTCCCCACCAACAATGAGGCAGGGTAAGCTGACTGCCTGAGGCAGTGTACTTATTCATCAATTTTATTCTATGAATGAACACCTTCCCTATTCAACAGGCCTGTGATCCTGTATGGGTATATATTATTTTTCTGGCTCATTAGTATTTACTGTTTCAAAGAGAATACAGCACACAATGAGCCCATGCAGTCCAAAAATGGTATGTATTATTTTTAACTGTTGGTGACTATTACCAAAGCTCATTACAAACCCCCACTCAGTAGACACTCAGGGAAGACTTGAGGAAGTGATGTATCTTTTAAGTGCAGCAAGGTAGCAGGAAAACCCAAGGTTCGCTGATTGAGGGATTGCAACAAGCATTGCTAATACTTTATTCTTATACCATCAATAATTATCACTATACACTACAGTATTATGTATTCATTTTTGGTAGATGAAACATCTAAGGTGTATCTGCATGAGAAAGAAGGACCTTAAATAACATTCCACTTTCTAACAAATAGGTTTTTGGGTTTATGTCATGTCATTGTTTCAATGTCACATATAACATATTGCATCATGCAGAAACATTCAAGATCCTTCTGCATGATATAATCTATTGGTCTATATGACATGGACATACCCCCAAAATGCATTTTATAAGATGGTAAAATATTATTGAGTCTATAGCTATAAACTAGCCCAGTTTTTCCAACACAGTTTTTTCAGTTTTGTTGCTGATAATACATCTGTGCTAAGTGAATGTGAAGGCTATAATCAAAAAACCGTGGTCCTTGAAAAACAGCTTTAGGATTACTGGTACCAACTAGTGAGGGAAGTTTGAACAAATACCTCATGGAGTCACTTGCAGAAAGATTCTGAGATGTGCTTAAAATGGAGTTCAAAATTCCAAACATTTCTTTCGCAACCGTAGCATTTACTTCCCCGGCTAATAGATCTTCCATGTATGTCAAAGCCTTGGCTATAATAGACAAATTCAGATTACTAGAAGTTAAATGATTGTTCTGCCTGTGAATCTTTTCTATGGAACAAATTATTTAAAGAACAATACAGTCACATTTCATCTACATACTGTAAAAACTGACATGAGAAATCTGACGTAATGATACTGACACAAAAACACAAGTAGTAGTCAGCTGACATAAAAAAGGTTGTGTAGGAAATAAGTGTGTTGTCAGATGGGCCTTAACCCTTTGAGGACCAAGGGACGTATTTGTCCCATGTTTTTAATTGCGTGTATCATCTGATTAAGAACTTAAAACTCTTTTTTTTTTTTGGTTTGAGTCAAAATATTAGTTCTTATCAACAAACAACAAATGGATCTAGCTTTCTGCCAATTATTTCATGAAATGGCTTAGTTTCAGCAACTAAAGTGTACGAACTTTAAAAACAAAAAAATTGATTCTTTTGGCGTTCCAAAATCTTACGGTCCTCAAAGGGTTAATTAGATCTCATGTGCTTTCTGATTGCTAGAATAATACCTTAAGGGTATACCTGTCACAGAAAAAAAGGCTGTCACTGCTAAGCTCTTTGGTGAGTCTAGTTGCCTGGCTGTGATGCTGACCCTCGTCATTAAATAACTTTCAGCCACTGACCCAGGGTAAGTATGTAGATAGGGAGCCCTAATTTTCCTCCCACATTTCTGGTCTGCATATCTTGGTTCACCCAAGTACACAAGTACATACTATGATATCTTACTGCACAACACCGCAACACACATGCTATGTGCTGTGGTGCACTGAATTAAATAAAAAAGCTGCAGTGTACTTTTTTCCTTTTGTCTTAGCAGGTTATTCTAAATATATGGGCTGCTGCAAAACACAATACTGCACTTTAATGTGTATTCAGTAATATACTGCAACTAAATGGTTTAGTGTAGTGCATTACAGTCAGGCAGTCAGCCAACAATGCCTGCTTTTTGGACACATTACTTTAACAACGGGGTGTTGGTAATATGGTTTTTGTATTTTGAGAATGTTTTAATAAAAAACTTGAACATATATATATATATATATATATATACCGGTATATATTTACTGGTATACACCATTTAAATTCGCCTTTGATTCACCTTTGTAATTACCAGACATCTGTCTGAAATTGATTTTTCAAACAGTTGTTTGACGTTAAAATGAATTTTGCAATGTGGCTGCCTACTCCTTAACCTGAAAAGAGGCAGGTTAGTTCCAAGAAGAGCCTAATTTACTCTAAACCACATGCTCATAATATATATTATTATTATACAGGATTTATATAGCGCCAACAGTTTGCTTTAAAAAATGAAGGCAGACATTACAGTTACAATACAATTTATCACTAAAGATGACTGTAAATAAACTAAAAGTAAAAATGCCAAAGTCCATGCTGCTTGAAATATACCAAAATGCTCATACGCAAAAGGATTTTACCACGGCAAGAGTGCATACACAATTTCTTATGCTGATGTTTATTCATGGAGGTTTCAGTTATGAATATCTGTACATACTCTGCCTTAAAACCTCCTGAAGTACAGGTGTTTCTGAGCTTTGCCTTTTTTATGTGTTGTTTTCCCCAGTCAGAATAAAAAGCTTGTATGTTTGTATGTTATGTTGGGATCTGGATTGCTGGATGTGGTATACACCTGCACACGCTTGCAAACCCATAAATTGCAAATGTATGAATTATCTTTATAGCAATTTTCTCTGCTCATTTGCGGTTTAGTACATCAGGCTCAGAGTGTGCATAATTTCAGCTCTGCAAAATGTTAGCACCATCCTTATACAACATTTCAGAGCACGGCAGGGGTGAATGCTGCACTGTATAAGTATAACTTTATAAACTGCATGGTAAGTAAAAAGCTCACATATATTATTAGTGTTACAACTGTGTATTAAACGACATAGCTGTAGTCACTCTTTTAATTGGCAGGATAATTCTTGAAAATAGTTTTGTATGTGCTTTAAAAAATGAATTGCAGATCTTGTTTTACAGTAAACAAAGCAAAAACACCAGCATTTACTGTATGTCTGACATGCACTACATTTTTTTTCTATGCACGTCCATCTTCTGAACAAGGTCTGGGACCAACTTTACTACCTACTCAAACAGTATGATGTATTTATATAACTTAATTAAAATATATATTTTTTTACAAATCTAGTTTTGAACCAGTTTTGAAATAGGATTTTTTTGTTTTTACCATAAAGACCTTTTCTCTGCATTCATTAGTAGACACAGCTTTGAGTCCTTTATTATGAGGCCTGTCACCCAGCTGGTGGCTTGTATGTAGTAAAACCAAAGGAACTTAAGATTTCCAGTAGGAAATTTATATGTCTTATTCTGAGACTCAGCAAGAAAGCAGGAAGTCATAAACCAATAATGTAAGACCTCATCCATCTTTATTAAAGCCAAAAAAGGAAGTCTACAGCCCTACCAAGGACCACCCCACTAGTGCTGTACCAAATACAGGCTTGATTGGGGGGGAGGTTAGGTTTGGCCACCAGAAAACCTACTTTTGATTTTTAATTACACCTAGCATCCTACTTCTGCAGCTCTATTCCCAGTTGGTGATTATCTAAAGCAGAGCTGTGTCCTCCAATGGACAAAAGAGTAATATTTAGAAACTAGCTTTTAACATGATTGATGTTCAACTCTATTGCTACCTGTCTAATCATTAAAATAAAGTAATCTGACATTAATTTATTATTTCAATTAGATACAATTTGTAAAAGACACACTTGTATTGTTTCTTTTTTTTTTTTTTAACTCATATGTGTTTGTCAAAAACCATAACTGAAAATATTAATATTTACCTATATCAACTGATATTGTAGTGCCGGATGAACTGTTGACTTCAAAAAAAGTTGTATCTGTATGCAGACTTGTGGAAAAAGTCATTTTGGGAGGAGTACCTGAGTCACTAGTGAGAGATGTTGTAGGTACACTGATAACTGTTGTGCTCGATGTTCTGTTAATAGATGTAGTAGATCCACTGTTGACAGTTGTTTTAATGCTGCTGTTAATGGTTAAGGTAGTTTCACTGTTAATTGTTCTATTAGAATCAGTAGAGGTTATTGAAACAGATTCAGTATGCAATACTGTGGTCTTAGCTACATCTTTACTGGTTGTAATAGGTTGACTGTTAACGGTCGTACGTATAGTATTATTAATGGTTGTATCAGAGCCAATGGTAATGGAAAAATTGCTGTTACTGTAGCCTGTAGTTTGAAGTCCTGTGGTGGTCCCAGTATCACATAGATTTGTCTGATGTATAGAGCTGAGAAAAAACAGAGTGTAAAACTTAGAATGGGAATGAGCCTTTTGTTAGCAAACATATGCAAGAATAATCAGATTATATCCCTTGTAATCAATGTGCAAAATCTGGTGCAGCTCTGCATATAAACAGCCTCCAGATTTTATTGTCAAAGCTTAACTGAACAAGCTGAAATTCAAAGCTGATTGACTGCCATGCAGAGCTGCACCAGAATCTGAATGCCCCAGTTTTAGTAAATCTCCCCCACTGCATACTTATTTTTTAAATTGTCCCAGGTGTGCACAAAGCAGGGTTGTTAATCTTTAAAAAACAATGGAAAATAAGTACTTAAAAAGAAGCTCCAGTCATTTTTGTGTTTATTAAAAGTCAGCAGGTACAAAAACTGTAGCTGCAGACTTTTAATAAACAGACACTCACCTGTCCAAGGATCCAGCAATGTGTTTACCTGAGCTGCTCCTTCCCTCGGTCTTCTGTCCTCGGTGCCGGCATCTCAACTGTGGGCACCTAGCTGTGACATCTTGCAGCTTCACAGCTGGGTGCCCACTGCACATGTGCAAGCCACGTTGCACATTGTGCATGGTCACGCAGTCTTCTGGTACATGTCATGTGTCCCAGAAGACTACAGGGGGGGAGGAGAACGTCCGCTTCTGATTGCCTAGGTGGTCGGAGCAGAGGTGGTGTCAGGTTATTTCTATATAAAGTTTATAAATGGATCAATTATGAACTATAAAGATGAGCGAATCAAATGCTCAGTGGAACACTCACAGCAAGATTGCTTTTTCCAAAAAAAATACTAAACAGCCATATTTACAAGCCCACACATTCAACTCAAGTCTTAAGATTGTTAAACAGAGCAGGAAAAATGTTGAGAACCATCACACTCCATCTCAGCAAATACAACTATTTACTGAAAGACCAGACAATTGTTTGTCAACAAGTCAAAAAAACGATGGTCCCCTCAGAATGAACTGAGCAGATCATCTTTTACAACCTAATCAACTCAGGTGTGTGAGCTATCAGTCATTCATTAATAGGACAAAACTGTAGCGTTTTAGGAATGGAGAAGAAAAATGATACATACTCAAGAGTTGTTATACAAGGAAAAAATAACAACCTCAACTTTATGGAAGTTATGATCATATATTAAATTCCTTTTCTTGCTAAGTTCAAAGGATACATACACGTTAGATTACCAATGACTCATCAATCAATTTCTAAATAACAAAATATGTGTGGAAATTATGGGTGGAAATTTTCAATCATATTTAAAGGAAATGGTTTGTCAATCAAATTTTTCCCACATATCAGGTTGTTAGTGTCATATCATGAGATCACCCAAGAGATACAATACTGTGCTATAAAGGACATGGTGCATATTCATATGATGGACTGAAATATCTGTATCACACAGATATACTACAATATGTATCTGTGTTAAGTGATAGGGTACAAGTTAATCAGTAATAGATGACGTCTTAATAATGGTTGATAGCCACAAATGACAGATTCTTATTTAATAAGGGTGTATCCTAATATTAAAATCAACTCGCCAGGTCATTTATATAGAGATACGTCTGTTATAACAACTTTAATATGGTACATATTTTTTTATCATACCATATTAAATTTCAAATAGTTTTACTCTTTTTAGGAAAGTCAGGTCCACATTTATGAGACATGACTGCCTTCTAGTGGACAGGTAAAAAAACACCTGAATAAATCCTTCATTAATTAATATTTATATTGTCCAATCAGAAGACCGTCAACATTTAGTTTGGGCGGTCTTAGTAGACAATGGGTCCAAACACTAGAAAAACAGAGGAAAATGAGAGAGGAGGACCTTGGCTTCTATCTGAGAGACATGCCTATTTCTACCACCCAGAAAATCACAATTGCTAAAATCCTGTTCCTTGCTCCGCCTAAGAGGCAGACGCTATCTCTGAACCAACCACACTGATACCATCCAGGTTCCATATCTTTGAGGTGGTGAGATCTAAATGTACTAAAAAGGTCATTGTGAAATTTTAATTATTTCAAAGATTATAGCTTCAATTTCCTAATCCCTATTTTCCTTGTGTTATATTGCTGGTTATTGTGCAAGGGGGTTTGATTTAGTACATTTCCTGTATTGCTATGTCTTTTTGGTATCCCTGCAATTTTATATATGTAGGGTGAGATTGGTGTTAATCTGTTTTGGAGTTGAGGAGTATTAACGATTGGTAAAAACGAGACTTTTTATGTTTGATAAGCTGCATGGTTTTAACCCCTTCACACCTAAGGGTAAAACAAATCTTAACGCCTAAGTACAATCTTGCAAGATTGACATGTGTTAGTAAAACCATACATATCATCACAACTTCTTTGTACATCCAGGTGGATTATACCTTGTTTTTTTCAGGACAAATTGGGACAAATTGGGCTTTCATTTGGAGGTATATGGTAATGGATATCTCCTTTTCCTTTTTTTGTATTATCAAAAGAAAACTGGCCCAAAATAGTAAAAAAAAATATATATTTTTTAATTTAGTGTTTTGTTACTTCCATAACCTACCACCAAAGAACAACCCAAAATAAATTTTCCAGCTCTTGACGATTGCAGCGATACCCTACAGGTGTATGTTATTTGTTGTTCGTACCCACAGTACAGCCCAGAAACAATAGTGCGCATTTTATTTTTTTAAGTTTTTCTTTTTTACCTAAAACACACTGACATTAACGGACGCCAATACCAATTAAAAGAAATCCTGACCTTTGACCCTGACCTTGACCCAAACACTTACCCTGGCACTGAACTAGATCAAACCTTGATCTAGGTATTTTTTCTTTATTTTTAAATGTTTATTTATTTAGTTATTTATTTAAAACATTTTTTTAAACAAACTTTTTTTTTTCAAAGAGAGAAGGAGATACAATGTATCTCTCTCCTCCATTCATAGAGAAAAAAAAACAAGGGGGGCAGGCTGTACAGTGACTGATTACTGTGGTAGCCAATCAGAGGCTATCATATGACCTGGAATCGGGAGTCCCAGGTCCCGATCGTTAGAACAGGACCCGGGGCTCTAAGTGACACCCCAGTCTTTGTGCTGGGAGCGTGCTGTGCGGCGTGCTGCCAGCACATAGACATGTACGCAGATATGCGACCCCACTTAAAAAAGCCCAGTTCTGTGAGGCCAAATATTTGTGTTACGTTGGCGTGAAGGGGTTAAATACATGTTTTAAAGCTAATTTTATTTTATTGTCATATCAGAAGTAGTATCCTTCCTTTCTTCTGCCGTGGAAGATGGGAAACTGCTCTAAGATTGACTAGGGTATTTTGCTACCCTCTGGTTACCTACTAAGTATATATATTTATGTTTAGATGTTATCATTGTCCTTCAAAATTTTTTATTTATTTACAGTTAATTGTTGTCAATAATGTGTAGTGTGTGTGGTGCTACCCTCGCGAGGGCCGCTTGTATTATTGCCCCAGGTTCCCCCTATGTTGCCCCGCAGCCAGACATAGTGTATTTCTTCAGTCAAAACACACACACTTCCATTTGTTGTCTTCAATGACCAGCCTAGGGGATGTGTGTTTCTGGAGTTTTATTGTAGCACTGAGGATAGGGATAGGGGATTTGTAGGATACTCCAAAATTAGAGCTATTGACACTGAGGACATCTAGCTGATCTCTTAGTTGAGCACTACTGAAGTCTTGACTGAAAGCAAATAGCAGACTTCTCTTTAAAGTGTACCAACAAGTAGCTTAAGAGTGAGCAAAGTCATTTTAGTAATATCAACACTTGGACAAGCTCTTCAGAATCCAATCTTCCAAGCGAATCTCTCTCCAGTGATGCCAGACAGATATTTGGCAGACAGCTCCTCTCAGTCAGCATACTGTAGGACCAGGGTCACTCTCTCCAACTTCAGGCCCTCAGGTCGACCCACCTGAGGCCGCATGGCAGCAAGTACTAAGCGAGGCAGCCTGCCTCCAGCCTCTCTGTTCAATACTCTCCCAGGAAAGACATTGAACCCATGTGCTCACAGAATATAAATACCACTCCCAGCATGCAACGAGGTTACCCTCCCCTGCAATTGGCCAGGCGTGTATCCATGTTCATGCCGTTCATTTGCCTAGCCCTAACCCATATTTTGGAAGGCTCTCATAGCTTCCTGAAGATGGGCAAATCTCAGACAAACTCAACAGCACCAGAGCATCATGAGCAGACCTGACTAATCAATCATAACACTCTGTTGAACAGAGATCCCAATCAGATTTTCTTAACCACCTCCCATCTGGCCGTTATATATAAACGGCTGGACGGTGGCAGTGCAGGGTCAGGTGGCCGTTTATAAACCGTCTCCCTGCCCCCTGCTCCCAGGGAGCGCGCAGCACCGCAATCCGGTGCCTGCTGTGTCCTCCGGACACAGTGGAACACCGATCATCGGGCGGGACCTCTGTATGAGGTCCCGATCATGTGATCACTGATTGGCCAATCAGTGATCACATGCAGAGTAGTAAGCAAGATGTCACTTCTGACATCATTGCTTACTACGTGTGAAATCTGTGAATGATCACAGAGGTCACATGGTACAAGGCTATTCACAACAGCCTTGTACCATGTGACAAACTGTGACCAATCAATCACAGCTCACTCAGTAGTTCTCAATGGCTGCAAGAATGCAGCTAGTTAGAAGGAGAAATTATTGCTTTTACAGCCTTTATGGGTGTAAAAGCAGTCAGTGTAAAAAAAAAAAAATCTTCATCACCCCCCATAAGTAGTACAGTGTCACCATGGTGACATTGTATTGCTATGGTGACAGTATGTAAAAAAAAATAATAAAAAAAATTAAAAAAAATTATAATTTTTGCTTATAAACTAATTTGGGTTATTTCTTTTACTAAAAGTATAACGGAATAAATTTTGGCCAGGATTTATGATGAAATACTATTTATTTGCTAAATTTTATAAGAAAAACACTTTTTTTCAAAATTTTTGGACATTTTAATTTACATAGCAAAAAAAAATAAAAATCCCAGTGGTGAATAAATACCACCAAAATAAAGCTTTATCTGTCTCAAAAAAATGCTAAAAAATTCATATGGGTACAGTGTTGCATGACCGCGCAATTGTCATTCAAAGTGTGATAGCACTGAAAGCTGAAAATTGGCCTGGACAGGAAGGGGTAAAAGTGTCCGGACTGGAAGTGGTTAACTGTCTCTCTGGTATGCAGAGAAACACAGCTATGCTTAACCTAACAATACAAATCCTAGCACCTGACTAGGAGGGTGCTACATGTGTATGAATTGCAAATTACCAGTTCTTGTATATATATAAATATTCTTTATACAGTATATAAATACATTATCCTTATTTATCTACCAACTTGTAGATATTTAGGGATTTGATAAAATATCACATTAACTCAAAGAACTCAGGAGAGTTATGTTGTGGTAGTTATATTTTCTCAAGGTGTCAGAACTCACTTCATATTATTTATCAAATTATTTAAGTTTGCAATAACGGCTGGAGGCACTGTATCTCAATTCTATTCATAATTAAGGCACTGTAGCAGACATAGCCACTCCCTTAGAATCCAACACGTTGTTTTTCACTGTCACGTTATCAATACAACCCAAAATCAGGTGCCCCCCCACATGTTCTCCACTGATCATCTCAGCACACAGATGACCAGCATATGAAGGAGCGATCTCAGCCCTTCACTGGCGATCTGTGTTCTCCCTCCAGATTCTCCAGCACAGAGCTGTCAAAGCAGTGATAATTTACCGCTGCTTAGTAAATGGTGTTTGACTGATCTCTTACTGTAATTTTGTGAGATTATAGTAAAAGCAGCCATTTTCCAGCAGTATTATTATACAGTATTTATATAGCGCTAAAAGGTTTGCTCAGAGCTGTACATTATAGTAGGGACAGAACATGAGACAATACAGTAACAAAACAAAACATGAGGGGGTCAAGGGCTCTGCTCTTTCGAGTTTACAATCTAGGAGGGAGGGGATAGTGGTACAGGAGGAAGTGGCTGTGGGGGATGGAGTAGTAGGAGGAGTGGAGGAGATTGGTTGTTAGGTGAGGGCGGGGTAGGCTTCCCTGAAGAGATGGGTTTTCAGGGTGTGCCTAAAGGTGAGAAAGGGTAGGTGACAGTCTGATGGATTGGGGTAGTGAGTTCCAGAGGATGGGGGAAATAATGGAGAAGTCCTGCAGTTGGGCGTGGGAGGTGGAGACCAGGGAGCTAGAAAGTAGGAGGTCTTGTGAGGAGCAAAGAGTACGGGTTGGGTGGTATTTGGGTATCAGGTCGGTGAGGTAGTTTGGGGCAGCGTTATGAATGGCTTTGTATGTCTGTGTTAGTAGTTTGAATTTAATGCGTTGGGCAATCGGGAGCCAGTGGAGGGAATGACAGAGGGGGGTGGAGCAGTTGGTAAGGTGGATGAGTCTGGCCGCTGAGTTCAGGAAAGACTGAAGCGGGGATAGTCTGTGATGAGGTAGGCCAGTGAGAAGGGAGTTGCAGTAGTCCAGACGTGAGATAATAAGGGAGTGAACGAGTTGTTTAGTAGTGTCTGGGGTTAGGAATGTACGTATTTTGGAGATGTTGCGGAGGTGGAGCCTGCATGAGTTTGCCAATGATTGGACATGGGGTTTGAAGGACAGGTTTGAGTCTAGACTGACACCTAGGACTTTGGCTTGCGTGGTGGGACTGATGGTGGCGTTGTTGGTCGTGATGGAGAGGGTGGGAGGGCACGGGCTGGGGAGCTCGGTTTTGGAAAGGTTCAATTTGAGGAAATGGAGTGACATCCAGTCTGATATTGTCAGGGAGCGAGGAGCCAGACACACAAGGAGGTGCAATTAAAGGTAGGTTTATTAACAAAAACAAGACAGAGTCTATGCAAGTCCAACAGCAACAGCGGATGACTTGGTAGAACAGTAGCCAGGAAGGATGGTCGCCAGAGCTGGGGTCAGAAGCCAGGAAGGATGATTGCCAGAGACGGTGTCAGAAGCCAGGTAGAATGGTCGCCAGAGCCGGGGTCAGAAGCCAGGAAGAATGGTCGCCAGAGCCGGGGTCAGAAGCCAGGAAGGAGTCTTGCCAAAGCCGAGTCGGTATCCAGGAGAGCAATGAGAAACTAAACAGGAGCTAGCTGCTGTGCAACAGACAGGACACGCATGCAATGGACAGCTACAATCAGCAGACTTATATGTGATAAGCCGCCACCTCCTGGGGGAGGAACTGCAGAGGGCTTCTGACCACGACTCTGGCGACCATCCTTCCTGGCTTCTGACCCCGGCTCTGGCCATCATCCTTCCTGGCTTCTGATCCCGGCTCTGGCGACCATCCTTCCTGGCTACTGTTCTACCAAGTCATCTGCTGTTGCTGTTGGACTTGCATAGAGTCTGTATTGTTTTTGTTAATAAACCTACCTTTAATTGCACCTCCTTGTGTGTCTGGCTCCTCGCTCCCTGACACTACACGAATGCCATGAATCCTGACGGTGCAGGTACGCCCTCGCTCCCTATGTTGATTGTCAATCTCGTGGGCGGTGAGCGAGGTACTGGGTGGGGGGGAGAGAGTAGGGAGTTGAAAGTGGAGAAGTGGCGAGGACAGGTGGAGAGGGTGTTGATGAGGGTTACGAAGTAGGCTTGTCTGGCGGCGTGGAGGGAGGAGGAGTAGGTGAGGAAGGTGGATTTGTAGAGGGAGAACGCTCAAGGTGATTTGGTTTTGCGCCATAATTATTCCAGCGCGCGACTGCGTTGTTTAAGATTTTTAGTGTGGTCGTTCTGCCAGGGTTGAAGCGGCCGGGGTCTAATGCTACGTGTGGTTAGGGGTGCTAAGGAGTCTAAGGCAGCTGATAGCGAGTCGTTATACGCAGTAGTGGCCAGGTCAGGGCATGACAGTGGAATTGAAAGTGTTTGTAGATTGCTTCTTCCTTCATTCGGAGAACTGATCTACACCGCTTCAAAAAAAGGCATTCAGAGGAGAACTGTCTTCTCCGAGAATGACGGAGAACTGAGCAGCGGTCATTTACCGCTGCATGATAAAAGTACTTTCTTGTGTCAGTATGCTTAAACTTTGCTCTTTGTGTGCTGGCAGCCTCTGCACCTGTGAGGAGGATCCAACGCCACCATCAGCCCCACCTCACAAGCCAGAGCAGCACTAGGTGTCATTCTAGACTCCAATCTGTCTTTCCAGCCCAGATCCAATCGCTGACAAATTCATGCAGACTCCACCTCTGCAACATCTCCAAAATACGCACGTTCCTAACTCCAGAAACTACAAAGCAACTCATTCACTCTCTTATCATATCACGACTTGACTACTGTAACTTCCTCCTCGTCGGCCTACCCCAACACAGGCTATCCCTGATTCAGTCTATCCTGAATTCTGCGGCCAGACTTATCCACCTTACCAACCGCTCTGTATCCACCACCCCCCTCTGCCAATCCCTCCACTGGCTTCCGATTGCCCAACGCATAAAATTCAAAATATTAACATTGACGTACAAAGCTGTTCATAACACTGACCCAAACTACATCACAGACCTGATATCCATCTACCACCCAAAATGCACTCTCCGCTCCTCACAAGACCTCCTACTCTCCAGTTCCCTGGTCTCCTCCTCCCATGCCCATCTCCAGGACTTCTCTAGGGCTTCCCCCATCCTCTGGAACTCACTACCCCAATCCATCAGACTGTCACCTACCCTCCTCACCTTTAGGCACACCCTGAAAACCCATCTCTTCAGAGAAGCCTACCCCGCCCTCACCTAATTGCTGATCTCCTCTGCTCTCCCCACCACTCCATCCCCCACAGCTATTTCCTCCTGTACCACTCTCCCCTCCCTCCTAGATTGTAAGCTCCAAGGAGCAGGGCCCTCGAACTCCTCGTGTATTTCATTGTATTGTTACTGTACTGTCTCATGTATTGTCTCCCATTGTAATGTACAGCGCTGAGCAAACTGTTGGCGCTATATAAATACTGTGTAATAATAATAATAATAATAATGTCATCATTATCATCTGCATTGTGCTTGTGAACTATAACAGCCAGTGGCCTCTCTGGGGTAGCGCTACACTAAGAATAAAGGAGAAGTAGGGCCAAAGCTCTTTTGGCCCTACTTCTCCTGTGGGTAACAGGAGTCCACTTAGTTCTGCAGTCTTGTGACCAGTTTTCAGCTGATAGCAGGACAAAGCCCACTGATGGCTGACACCACAGATCTGATCCAGACTCTAGAGATCCCGACATCCAGCAAGCTCAGCTTTTTAGCACATCGCTGAGAGCCTGAGCCAGCTGTTCTTACCCCCTCCACAGCCCGGCGCTACAGTGAGCGCTGGAGGGGCAGAGCAAAGCGACAGTGGCAGTCTGTAGGAGCAGAGTGATCAGCAGTATTTGATCGCTCAGCTCTCAGTCTTAAAGGTAGCAGGGGACAGCTGCAGATGGGATTGGTGCTGCAGCCATCCAGGTGAGTCTGGCTTTATTAGGTGTTCTTGCATGGCAAGACCACTTACTGTTATCTCACATATATATTCTTATTATTATAGCCAAATTTACCACCCTAACTCCTCCCACAGTTTTTACACTACATAGA